TTCAAAAATTCCCTTTAACACATTACCTTCTTTAGAGCACAAATCAATTTTTGGAAAACCGGTAATTATACGTTATCAACCTAATCAAATGTATAATTATTCGGATCGCGGGCCAGCGGAACGCGTGTTGTACCGCAAATTGGATGCACATATTTTACGAGTGCGAGTGATTTAATACCGGTGGAATATACCGGTAGTTAGGCACGAAATTGCAATATTCCCAAGACCATATCCCCTCTTCTTCGTCAACATCGATGTGCAAAAAGCACAGTGGAAAAAGTGCTCGTTACATTCCGGCCGTGACGAGACACGCGAAGCCGTATTTAAGTTGGTGTCCAACTCGCACCTGTCTCTCTCTTCTATTCCCTTCAATGACTTTTGAGAATACTCGAAACGGATAGTATCGATTACAATGAGTGTCAATGAGTTTCATTCAAATCCCTAATAAAGAATATTTTGAAAAACCAAGTTTCTACAATTTTTTATAAATCTAGCAATTATTGATTTCACTCTTTAGAGTGACAATTCACTCTAAGGGTGTGTCCACATTCAAAGATTTGATGTGAATTTATATTTATTTCGATAATATGAATGTAAGATCTTTAAATGTGAACACTGATTCGACTCGCGATTCAATATTCGGCTCGATAGTCTGAACGCATCCTAAAAGTTTAAAAGAGTAATATTATGATTGATGAAAAGGTTTATATAACAACTTTTTAGACGACTTTTATAATATATTTTACGTTGACACATTTATAAGGTATTTATTCCCTAATCTATATAATTAATTTAGCTGTACTAAATTAATTATATATAATTTGTACATCGCACAACTTTCTTATCAATGATCTTCAGTGTACTTTCTTTATTATATTACTATTTTATTCTTATTCCTTGCTTTTTAATTTGTAGTTCTATCATTACATTGTATTACTATTACTTATTCCTAATACATTTTTACATTATACTTGTACTCTTTAACAGAAATAATTACGATGTCTATAGTATAGTGTCATATAAATTACCAGAGGAATATACTATTAACAACACTCTGATTAATATCTACTGCATACTGAGCGATATTATTGATAACTTTAATACTGCGATCGAGAGCGAATTATAATTTTATGTATATATCTTCTCTTTATAATAATTTCATTGCTTGTTAACATTAATAATGATCCGACATGGATCGAAACGTTTATTTTTGTTTTCTTTTGTTTATTGCCGGCAAATTAAAGTTTATATTTTAACTAGATAACATGTTTTATTTATTAACGATTCAAAAAATTGTTTAATTTATGACAATTGTTTTAGGCTCGTAGGCCCTTTGTCTTTCTGTTTGTCAAAATCCTGTTTTATCCTGTTTTACTCTATCAGAAATTTGATAAGGATGACCGACTACTCGCTCAATTATCTTACGAACGGAAGATAAATTTAAAAGTCAATAGACACGCCACTCGTTTTGCATGACTCGCGTGCGTACACGCGTTCATCGCGAGCTACACGCGACACTGCGGGAGTGACTCGCGGGCGCGCCCTATGCATCAGGCTCGCCGCACCTCGCCTGCATGCATCTGCCTGTATCAAGGTATCGATGCACTCAGGAGATCGGCAAATCTAAGACCGTGCAACTGGTGTCGTGATGTCCAATGGCGTGTCCACAGTCGCTATACATTGGCTAGCGAGCGAGACGAGGCGCGCGCCCGCCAGCCGGAACGAATAGGGGAAGAGTGATTTTGTTTGGTTCTTTCTTTTGTTGCACCTT